AGAAACAGGTTTTGGAGGGGGGGGGGAGCACGGGTTCTTTCTATTAACTTAACAACCATATTCCAGCTTTCCAAAGCCTAGGGAACGAGCAACATGAGTCACCTGGCGAGAACCCCGAGAACTGTCAGATATTACGACCCACGGAAGCCAACAGGAAATGAAGGTACAGAGCACCCTCAACAAATGGGCCCACGATCTCCCTGTATGTAACTGCAGGGAATGCAGTTTTATTTCTGAGCTACGGGAGAGTTCCATTACTAACTGCCCCAGGTTTTTTGCCTGTTTTACTGGGACAGAGGAACACAAGTATTCAGACGGCCTTTCTTGGCAGCACTACATGAAGGCAGGAAACCCAAACATATTATTGTGGTGATAACCACTGGCTCATTTACTCTGCATACCTAGAGATAAGTTTCAGTGCTAAATTAAAACAAATCATAAGTGACAAGATTTTCAGGTTTGTGTAAGTGCTGCCTGATAATGAACACTTCCTTGGTTTTTCTCCCAACTAAAACAAAACACGTATGAATTGCCCTTTGTTAAGCAGCCCTGGCCACTTAAGTGAACAATAAAACCTTCTCTCACTGATGAACCCCTTCGCAGCACTTCAGGTGACCTCCAGAACGTCTCAAATCACGTGAACTACAACATATGGTTTACTGTCTCATATTCAGAGTAAAATGGCACCTGCAAAAACACTGCAGCTTCCCACTGAATAATTTTCTGTAACAACACAAGCATAATATTGACAGACTGCAGAGAACAACTGTGTTTATACACTAATATTAGTATTGAATTCTGCACCATTAAATCTCTCCAGGGTTTTAACACAGCAAGATGGTAAGGACTTCATGGGCAATTAGCCTCCCAGGACTGTCACATCTTCACTTAGGATTCCCACCTACAGGGTGACCACCAACAAATAAAGTTTCACAAAAATAATTAAACCCCCTCAATTTCCAAATTCATTCTACAGCTTACATATATACAAGTCCTTGTTCAGCATACATTTAACTAAGTCAGCTCGTGAAGCTTCTTGTAACAATGACAACTATCATTGTAATGTTTTTTCATTGAGCTCCGTGTGTTTTTCTACACACGAATAAAATTAATGGGCTTTGCAAAAAGCAGCTGAACATACCTCATGTAGATAAGATGAAGAATAATACGTAGTTAGTGATACAGGAAAAAAAGAAGTCCTATAAAACTAGATTATCCAGTCTGGCAGTTCTAATGTACCAACAGTAGAGTTTTGCAACAATTTCTTTTTTAAACAAGAGAAGTTCCTTGTGCAACAGACTTTGACCAAGATCCCACCCAAGTGCCTCCATTTCTTCCCAAAGAAACCTCTTGCCACTCTAAGTCTGTTAGCAAATAAACGCCAGTTATGATACTGTGTTCGTATCCTTCTAGGATAGGGCTCTGTAGTGTATGTTCACGTCTGCTAAGAGACAAGCAAAAACTAGTGAAAACTTCTCTTAACATTGTTATAGTCTACATTGATAGTAAAGGAGGAGGCTGGCTTTTTTTATTTTTTTTTAAATTCAAGTCTGTTCAGGGAAAGGGGAGGTCTAAATTTAAAGAGGAGACAGAAAAGGGAGAAAATGTAACCATACTCATTAACCAGGATCCTTGCAAGGAAGTATTTGCTCGCCCTTTTTTACTCCATGAGGAGTAAAGGAGCTCTTTGCTTCTTTAACTTCTTGTCTGGTAGGATTTCATTCGAATGTGAACGGCCTCAGAAATAAGAACAACTGGTTTGTACTGCAAACATCAGATACACGCAGTCCATTTCCCACCAATTCAGTTCACCTACTAAACCGGTATCAGATTTAAAAATAGAGGACAGAATGATGCAATCACTGCTGACTCTATTCCATTTGACCTGCTTTCTAATATATTTCCAGAAGTGAAGAGAAAGTGCTGCGATCACATCCACTATAGGTAATCAGAGTCCCACTACAACAAATTTGTATTAAATGTCACATTTTTCACGAAGACAGAAAGAGCTATCTCTGCTGATGACTTACTAAAATTACAAAATCACCTCCAGTCACTGAACAACATTAAAATTCCCTACATAACTGTAGTTCTTTTATTTAAAAATCTGTGCCGTTCCTAGATATCTATCTTAGAAAAGACATGAGATTTGCACAATAATCACTGCACCAGTGAAGGAAGGGTATTCTAGAGATAAAATCAGGCTTCTGCAAACCCTTTGCCATCAGTTCCACCAGCTTAACACTCCCATTTGACATCCATCTGTTCTATGCATGTTTATATTGCATTCAGCCACAGAAAACGTGACACCTACTGAGCCAATCAAAAAAAAAAAAAATCTCAGGTAGTCACAGAATCACAGAATAGTTGGGGTTGGAAGGGATCTCTGGAGATCATCCGGTCCAACCTCCTGCTCAGGCAGGGTCACCTAGAGCAGGTTGCCCAGGACTACGTCCAGTCAGACACTGAATATCTCCAAAGATGGAGACTCCACAATTGCTCTGGGCAATCTGTTCCACTGCTCAACTACCCTCACAATAAAGTGTCTTCTTGTGTTCACACGGAGTAGTCGGAACCCTACCTGTAATAATCACCATCTGCAAAGAAAGCAACACAGCACCAAGGAAGTATTTAGAGAATTAGCTAAAGTAATTAATAAAATAATTACATATAAATCTACAGCTTAAATATTTGGGGGGGGGCGGGGGGGGGGGAAATAATCAATCTGAAAAAAGACCAGCAAATGAAAAAATGAAGACAAACATGACTCCAGCAACACTGCAGTTAAATGCAGAGTCTGGAGCAAGAGCAAAAATAAGAAAAAAAAAGTATTTACCAGGTTCCACAACAGTTTAAACTATCAACTGATTTGGCAGCTATTAATGTGACTGTGTAGAGGACGTCAGGACATCTCCTACTCACCTTCTTTTAAAGTCCACTTGATTGCACCCGTCCTCTTGCTGACAGCATGCAAACTTCCGTCAAGAGTTGAAACAAACAGCAGTGTTTCTGGCACGGTTACTGAGCTGGTGCTCTGGAAAAGAAGAAAAAAAACATATACTGAATGTCATTACTTACTGCATATTTTGCTCATAACTGTCATACAGTCTAGAATATTATCCTTCATTTTAATGACACAGATTAGTCGACTTTCTTGTCCCTCTGAATTCAGTGAATTTTTTGCTGTGACCTTCCATGGAACTGCTTACTGCGCCCCTAGTTTCCCTAGAGGCAAACTGGGAGACGCTTTAAGTTAATAATCTATCTATGACTCAACCTCCACGTCCAATTTTATATCAAAGGCTTCTTGTACTCAAAGATTTAGAGACAGTGTCGATCTAGGAAAGAACTGATACAAAGATAGCCAGGGTAAGGAACTTAAAAGCAGCTCGGAGAACAAAAGTGCTCACAACAGAATCGCACTACTAACAAGTTAATAGGACATACTTCTGTCAAGGTTTAGTCCCTAAAAGATGAAAAGACATTGGCTGTGGAAAAGGTGGCTAAGCAACATGGAGAGGTGATCAATATTCTGTAGGGCTGACTGCAGCTGAGAGACAGGCTGGAGCTGTGAACTTGTAGACTCTCTCTGAGCAAGGACCAAATACTTTGGGTAGGAGCAGTTTAAAGATTAGAGAACATCCATATTCTTAGGGCTCTTAACTGTGGTATTTTATCCCATCTCTCTCACTACTGTATTTCTGCTGTAGATAATAACATTAACACTGTTTAAGAAGGTCCATATGCATTAATACACTCACAGACAGCTCCTAAAAGCAGTTAACTGCAGGATTCAAACCTCAGTTTGACACTCTAAACATGCTGCTGGTGGGGAAACCTCTCCGCGTCTTGTGTGCACGTACAGAGCTGTTTGCTACCTGCTGTTGTTTCTCTAGCACAAACAGCTTTTGACCCTGGCTATTGCAGAGCGTGTACTTCTATCAAAAGGGCATCATACAACAGCGAGGACTCAGAACTACGCAGCTATTGCTGGAACAGTGACGCTAAGTCCAAGGTGTTTCATCACACAAAGCAGAAAAAACACGTTAATTTAGTCTCTTTTCTCTTCCTGCCTAGTACAAGAAGATCCCATATGCCGTAGCACCCAACCATTTCCATTTACCAAGTCTCAAATTATCACTCAGATAACTTCTCATTCGTAGACTGTATCTGCATTGCTCATCTGCTTGCCACCTGTCATGTTGAGAAAGTTTCACAGTTAAATATAACTTTTAACCTACCACAGTCGAAGAAACAAAAGTGTGTGCATTTTACATAATTAATAATGTCTTAAATGACTGATATTTTTTAAGGTAATTAACAGTTATGTCAGATTATTGCAAAGCAAAACATAAAATTGATAAATTAAAAAGCACGGATATAGGAGTAATTGCTTCTTTGGAAAACCATATGATTTCAGTACTTCTCTACTCTAGCATTTGACTCTTTCAGCTAATATATAAAGCTAAAATAAAAATATAATACAGTAATAATTAGGCAACTTATAGCTACAATCTACAAATAGGATATACATTTCTTTCCAACCATAACAAATATAGCTATAGCAGACAACTCCAAAAGACACAGTGCAGATAAAATACAAGTACAAATCAATGATACATAAATCATAGATCACAAAGAAACACTGGAGGTGCAGAAAAAAGGAAATATATCTTAATGCATAAATACAACTTTTAGTATTCAGCATAGCTAAATGACGTGTGCTAATGTTCATACGGAAGACATGCACACTCAAACAAAATATTTACAGCCAAATCAGGAAACAAACTTTGCAATGTTTGTTCAAATAGGAACAATGAATAAAAGTTCTTCCGGTGCTGGTCTGTAACATATGCAGCTAGAGATGTCACTAAGCAGAACAGAACGTAGAGGTTTCTTTCCAGCCTAACGACCTGATCTGTACGTAAGAACAAAGAGAAGCTGTATTTTAGAGTTATAACTTCTCATTCATTTGTTAATTCATTATTACTTCCACTAAAGCAAACGACCATAGCTACCATACCTAAGTAATTCTTAAAAATTTTGCCCCCAGGTCTTTTTGTACATAAACTCCCAAAGCAGCTTAGGTTGGTGCAGTTGACTGATAACCATTTAGTCCAGCTTCCCTCTCCCTTAAGTAGGCTTTTAACAGGCCAGACCCACTGATCCTGCAACTAGAAGAGGGAGACACAACCCACACTCCATTTTCACATCCATTTGGAGCTAAAAGCCATCTAATTACAAGGCTCAATTTGCCTTCCCTTTAAAAAGTAAAAAGATTTACTTTTTAAATCTGCCCTTGCCTAGCTGCCTGCATAACATTATCCATGAACAAAAACAAGAAAGGAAGGTCGGGGCTGCATTCTAGACATCATTATAGCTTCTTTCCTAGCTTCTTTCCAAATATAGAATCGCTTCCTGTAAAAAAGTGTAATAATATAAGAATTACAGCAACTAATCTGCTGACCCGGGACACTAATGAGCAGACACTAATGAGCGTCACTGCTCCTCGCTTCTAAATGTTATCTCAAGTCAGACTGTCAAATCCTCTCTCTTCTATTGTAGATGTGGAACAAGGAATTAGAGTGCTGCTAATACGGAGTTAGGATATGTTGTGAGTGAGCTACGTACGATGCGGCCCCTAAAAGACACTGGTTCAAGGAATAACAGGAGCCTGAAAAAAGCTGCATCCGAGCAGGTTCCACTCCCTTCGGCATGTCAAGCTGCTCTTGAGCCCAGGAAGTTACCAGAGTTAAAGACTGAACGACCTCTTCATTTGTAAGCTATTCAAGTATGAAAAGATATCTCAGTTCAACAGAAGACGAGCAAGAGAAACGACTATTAGGAAATCCTCCATATCGTTGACCATTTTCCCCATAGAGCTATTTCTATTGTGGGTGACTCCAGTAATATATGCTGATCATAATTTTATTTCCAGACTTCAAAATTCTTCTGACAACATTACTGTTACAGTGCAGATTAATTCTGATGTCTTCCTATGCCCCTCAGAGTTTGTCATTCATAAATTAAGGACATCAAATCTTAGCATAAACATCCCTGGCTTTCTCATTTACTTTAATATTCAACCAATAATTGGGATTAACAGAACAGGAAAGCATGTATTTGTTTTTCTTTTCCCTTGAATCACATTCTCCTCTTCCCCACCCACATAAACTTACACAAAATTTCAGTTAACTTCTGCTACTCGTTTTCAATAGGACTCACAGCTTGAGGTCTAACTGACAACATTCATCCTTAAAAAATAAAAAAAAAGCACAGCCACATACTATCCAAGAGATGTTCACGGAGTCATTACTAATCCTTCTAGTAATTCAGGTAATTAACAAAGAGACAAAATTTCAAAATTAAGTGGAAACAGTGCTGGGATGCAAACAAGAAGCAACGGACTGTGATCAAAATTAATTTCAAATCAACCTTTGTGCAATAGTATTTTGCACTCATATATTAATTTTCATCTGAAGATCCTAACACATCTTATGAAAACAACTCTTTTTAACATGGATTCATGATAGCTAAGGGATTTCCACCTCCTTTATATACAAACGATTTAAGCTAATGTAGACTTAAGGCACAAAAATAATCACTTTTTTATGTAAGAAGTAAGATTTAATTTTTTTTTAATATTACCTAAAAAGATTTGTAATAAATAAAATAACTTGATAGCTTCAGTTGTATAGAGTTGTCTGCAGGGCTCTGGACTTACAAGATAACAACAGAGCATAAACTAAAGACACTGAATAAATAGTCCAGCTCTGAATTATCAACTACATGCACAAATAAACTCTGCCCGCCCATCAGGGTAGCTGCATTTAATTAACCATCATCCTCAATTGCCAGATGTTATCCAACATCCTACAGCAGGCAGCTTTTTAAAGTTCATACTACGTATCTGTGCAAGTTCAAAGAATAAATCCCATTGACCCGTAACATTTTGAACAACTTCTTATAAGTAGTTTTTAACTCAGGCTTTTGTCAAATACATTTCAGCTTCCTCATACTGAACAGATGTTTATTTGTACTGCTGCTCTGCTCACAAAAACATAAAATACGTAAGTCCTATTCCAGAGAATTTTTTTCTTTTTGCATCAGCTTCATGATGGCAGAAAACATTTTTTAGGCATATGTAAGGTATGTTACACATCACAGGGAACACAGCGAACAACTGCTTCTTCATGAAGACGTTTATCTACCTTAAACCTGCTGTAGGATCAAGAACGTTTTTAAAGGATTGGGATGATATTCTACTTGTTCGTTTTTGTATCCAAAAAGATACAAAAGCATTTCACCACAAAAACAGCCATTATCTAAACGGATCGTTTTAGTTAATGAATACAATGAAACTGTATCTACAGTAAACCCAGCAAGCTGAGCAAGAACACACAGCTGTTAAAGACGGGATATGAAATTATTGAAGTTGCTGAAAACTGCAGGTAGGAAATTTGATATCCAGAATGTAATCACTAGTGTTGAAATTCAGATGCAAACAAAATGCAACATACAGCAAACGCAGTGCATCTTCCCTCAGGCTGCACACAGATTAACATTGTTCTTCTAAACTACCCTTTATTCTCTGTATAAACTTGTCTTTGTCTTATAGAATCAGTATATCCTCCACAAAGCATTTTCACTTCCTGTCTTCTTTTGAGAAGTGAATAAAGCATGTATCATCTTCACAAAAAATACATTTTTTGCAGGAAATCACTTTAGAGTTCACGAAAAAAAACAGGAATGACAAATTGTAAAGCTAATAATGAATTAAAGGATCCTTCAGAATAGAAGGGAAAACCAGTGCTCATAAGAAGGCGCCCCAGCTAATGAAACCCTTCACTTCAGAGATCACAGAGAACCAGAACTGGACCAAAGACAAAAATGTAATTTTTTTTTGCATAATCTTCCCTTCAGTGTAACAAAGGCAGAGCGGCAAGCCAGCATGACAGCCAGGAAGATACCCAGCAAAGGCCACAAACGATACTGCAATGCATTTCTACTTCAAACATTCAAAGGCTGAAATACATAGAAATGAGGAGTTGAAATGTGCATTAGCTGATAGCCCAGCTGTTCGTAAAACAGAACAAAGAGCTCTCTCAAAGCTGGTGTTGTAACCACAGCTTCTAACTTTTCAGGATACCGTGGCTGCAGTAAAACAGACCTTAAATACCGTTCACTAGACTCCAACCATGCAGAGGTAGTGGTCCTCATAAAACTTCTCAGGGTTTTACTGAGAAGACCTCACATTAAAATATCACGCAAGATATTTTGCAATATTCAGCTGTTTCACCCTCTTCTACCGGCTTGCACCAACACTTACCACAGAAAGCTTCTAGGTGCAGAAAACGTGATACCACTGCACGTAGACATTTCTAAATTCTGAGCTAGTTAATACAGCTTTTCTGTGGCTTTTTTACAGGTAAAGGCAACAACTAGTTGGAAAGAAAAACAAATTTATCAGATACATAAACTGAACCAAACCCTAGTATCTTATTACGCTTTGCCCAAGACTCAAAACAGCTAGACACAGAACAGCTTCTGAGAGACTTGCATAAGGGAGGATACTGAAATGTCTTTCTACAAATGTAGCCATTCATTCCATATATTACAATAAAATTTTCTAGTTATATTCCTGGAAAAAGCACAGGTACACCACAAAATTAAAACCGATCATTTAAATTAGAGTTTCTCTGTGACTGATGCAAAATATCAACTATTTAGATCAATGTTCATTGCCTCCAGCATCTAGCATGTACTAGAAATGCAATTCCTTACTTATGAGGGATACCTCAAAATCAAATTATCTGCAAAATCATCAAGATATTTAATAATGTATGTGTCTTAGAAACTGTTGCATCTTCACATTAAGAAGAAAGAATGACAGATTCCAAGTAATTCACTTACCTACATAAAATACAAGTTTATATGTATTATAACAGAAGACAGTTGAACTAGAGAACTCACGCTTTTTAGATGCACAATACGTAACGCCTAATTCTGCAACAACTTCTCACCATTTGGACATTTTGCTAACTGCAATTTAAATCCTCACAGCTTCTTCGTTAATTCCAAGAGGAAGATGGCAGGATATGAATCAGCAGAGCAAAAAGAAGAACTGAATTTAGCAAACAGAGAAAATGAGACAGAGAGAAAACCTGTTCTAGCATGATAGTCCTTACTAATGAAAAATTTCCACCTCAATGGTAATGTTATATGAAGGACTCATAACATTTTGGTATTATTTGAGGACTGCTTTAGAATGACAGTTTTTATAACTTAATTCAAAACATCAATGTCTTAATGTGCTTCGAGCACTCATTGAACTAAACTTTAACAACTGCTCTAGTGTGAATCGCTAATCATCTGCAACAGCCTAAAATTTGGAACTAAACAGAAGGGCATTTCATAAATACTAGTTAACTCTAGCGTAAGAAACTTCCCCTCGCTCCCGGCCTAATATAGCTTTAGATAAAATGATTTTTTAAGAACAAAAGTAACAAAATGACTCAAAACTATTTTGAATGACCCACAAAGACACAGCGAACAGAAGAAGCTGTATAACAAGCTCTGGTACGTTTGTATGTATCTGTGAAACAGTTCAGTGGCAAAGACAATACCATCTTCATTCACAGCAACGTTTGAAAATGTTGTAAAGGTTAGCAGACCAATGCTCTGTTTTGTTTTATTGTTTGAGAAGACAACAGAGCTCTACAGGAACAGTTTCTTCGATCAGTTTAGCCACCTAAGGACAGTACTTTTGAAATGCAGGTCACCAAGTATGCACAAATTCCACTGAAGTCAGTGGAAACAGCAGATTGAAAGAAAATCAGGTCACTTAGTACCTTGAGGTTATCATTCTGCAACCTAGAAATATGTTATGCTACGAGGAGGATACCACAAAGGGTTCTTAGAGTATGAATAAAGAAGAGGAAAACATTTCATTTTGGCAGTGGGCACATGACAGTTTATTGCTAAATCTGAGAACTGCTACTACTTCAACAGAAACAGCTTAGCACTCATTAATAAACAAATTACAGTGCCATGGGTCACCAGTAAATCATGATCTCTTTTCTGGGTCCTAAATAGGAATATATATGCCCCAAACTTAATTTCTAAGGTTTGATGGAAGAAGAAGGATGGACTAACTAACTGCTAACTGTAATTTAAATCCTCACAACTTCTTCATTAATGACTTGCTTATCAAACAAAAAATTTGACAGGATATATAATCACTCAAGGAATAAATCCTACCGTCCTCACTCCATAATTAGCTCCAAAGAAATTCTGTAAGTTTGCATTTAGGCGAATTCCAGAAAAAGTACTAGAAACCAGTTAAAGCATCACCAACACCAGATGCTTCCCTCCATAAAAGAAAAGGCCTATACCTTACAGGTATACTACTGGAACCACAATCTATAAGCCTGTAAGGAGGCAAAGCAACATATTTGTAAATATTAGTGCATGCTGCAAGCAATTGCAATATTCATCACAGATAGCCTACGATTCATTACACTGATTTTGTCAGCTACCCTCTAATGACATTGCCAGGCTGCAGCCTAAGACTCACTAAGCATAGTAAAACCATGCCACAAAGAAACTCTGTAAAATTCAGGAAACTACTGGGTGAAGTGTTTCAGTATAACTAATAATGATGTTAATATATGAAAGAGAGCTGGCAAGAACAAAAATTATATCTTATTCAGAAAGTGAAATTAAATCTACAGATCTTTTGATCTTAAACTAAATTCCGGCATTTGTCAGGTATTTCTCATCAACACTGTATCCCAATTCTAGCGACTCTTCATCGACATGCCCATTAGTGCTACAATAGGAAGATTTGAAAACCACAGTCCACTCCAACTGTCCTCCGACTTTGACCCAACTTTGAGTGGTGTTGAACACCATAAACTCCCAACTAAGTTTTCAGGCTGGGATCTGTCCGTGGCATCAAAACTTGTTTCAGTATTGACAAGAACAGAAGCAATGAAAAAGAGTAGAAGGACAAGAGCAGAAGAGTGACTTTACACTCCAGGACAGAGCTGTCCATGATAATTTTAGCTATGTGAGACATGTCTGTATTTCTCCAAAAATAACAACAAATCTAACCAAGTAACTACTCTATTGGGGCACCCAGCAGAGCTGCAACTCAGAACACACTGATGTATATTAACATAGCTCTTGAAGATGCCCTCATTAAAATTTTATGCTGTCTCACCTGCATTTTCATGCTAGTCAGTATAACTGGCCAAACATCTCATGCTGAGATAACACATTTGAAGAAACGACATCTGGGTTTGGCTGGGCTTTTCCCATGTCAAGAACAGCTGGCACGTGCTGCCTGCAGACACGATATTGCAGAGCACTGAAACCACTTCCACAGGCCACAGGAGGGAATAGACTGATGCTCTAAATGCCAATTTTATCCCAGAGAGGTTGCTATTTTTGAATTGTACTGACTCCATGTAAAAGGGAAGCAGGCACAACTTGGGATGTCTAGCTGCAACACTACCCTTGAGGAAAGAATAAAAGTAACTTTCTGTTATTCTTATTCCATGGCTGACAAAAACAAGTTTTATTTCTTTCTGCTGTAAATTAGTAACATAAGATATTTATAATGACTGCTTGTTTACTAATACTTCTATTGCATTTCTTATTGCTGTAACTAAGTCGTCGCCCTTTTTTAACATGTTCCCATATGTTGCTAGGGCAATTCCAAGAGCTGTACACTGTGTTACCTAAATAATAAGGGGCAACATTTCACCACAGGAGGAAAAGACAGGAAAGGAAGTCCTTTTATGAATATTTAATATAAACTATAGGAACAAAATACTAAAGTTAGGATATAAAGTAACAAAGGGTACACTTATCTGACAAAGAAAATACACAGCAGCAGATCATCGCCAGTACTATGAGAAGAAATCTGTAGAAAACACAATTTGTACTAATAACTGGATAGCTTTAAATAATCTCATGTTTTTCATATTACCTCAATACTGAGAACTGTATGCCAGGCAGTCTTTTTCATGGGTACTTATTACTCAAGTGACGTTAATAGTTCCAAATAAGCTTTCTTGCTCAAATGCATTAATTACAAGTGAGATGACTGACTGGGTCTAAGTTCAAAGAAATAAAAAAATATTTATGAACAGGGATTGAAGCATGGAACAGGATTCAAGTTGGAAGCCAGGGTGAGGACTATAGCTGGCAGGGCAAAAAGACTAGGTTAAGAGCTGAGAAAAGAAACAGAGAAACAGGGAACCCAACATCAGATAATGAGCTGAGGCAGATAGCAGAGGGTAGGAGACCAGTGCTCATAAGCTGTGGAAAAAAGAAGAGGGGAGAGAAGTCCAGGGAAAAACAAGAGTACCGAATTCTACCAGGTCCCAAGTCTAGGTTTTTGTGATTCTGCAAGAAGAAATTATACCTAATTTAGTAATGATCTGTTGATCTATAATTTACTGTTTGCATTTTTAAATACTTCTTAGTATTTTTATCATTATTTTTAAAACATCACAGGTTGCAAATCACCGTTTTCCTTGCAAAATCTGAGCCCTAAATCTAACAGGGCTCTGAACAGAACTCAGTACAACCTCACTGTCCAGACTAAGTCAAAAAACAGCAATGTAAATGAAAAGCTCTGTATCTTCTCTGAAAAACCATACAGTTTTATTCTTACCTAAAACTCAGTACAACTTCAGCTATTAAGTAATCATAAATGGTGGAAAGCAAATAGATGTTCTTTTTCTGAACTACCAGTATGGTAATCTAAAACATCAGCACTCCATCATAAAGATTTTAAGGCAATTTTTTTGACAGTTGCTTGCAATTTCTTTCCTTTCCTAATCAAGTAACAACAGTGAGTATGTTGCACAGCTTCACTGTGAAATGTGTTTACTTTTAAAAGGGGAGCGGAGCTATTATATTCTAGATGAAAAACAAAGCCTCCAGCTTTGCTTAACCTGAACGATAACCCCATACATTACACTAGCATTTTCGGACGGACAATCCATTATACCTGCTTAAATAGCATAGCCTAAAACCTTCCTCTGCTACACTCCTGAGTGTAATGGAAACAGTATATATATAATGGAAACAGTAAATACTAGGTGGCCTTTTTCATTACCTCCTCAACCTGAGGATGTACAAAGGGACAGCATCTTTTTCACAAGAGAATTTTTAAAGACTAAATTTTCCATCTCAGTTCACATACACTAGAGAGTGCTGATTTGAAAAAATACTCTTTAAAATTATTTTCTCCATACCAAAAGATATCAGCCACATAAAGCCAGTTTAGAAGAAGAAAATCTGTTCAGTATTAAATTTGCTTTGGTCTGGTTTCACCGTTCCCCCTGCTTTTACTGCCCCACGCAATACCATACGGCCAACCCGGTTATTTCTTAAGAGGACTTGTAGTGCAGCGACTTGTGTACTTTGTCATTCACCTTTGAATTCAGCACTGTAGTCTCTTCTGGATACCAACGAACCAACCACAGTCACATTTAATGCACACTGCTATCCTTGTTCTGGAAACAGAACGATTAAAACGCCCCAAAGATGGATACAGCAACCTTCCCAGGTCACGTAACTAATCATTTCTATCTGGATATCAACACGTATATTACGCTGGCATTTTTTTTTTTTTCCAGAAAGAAAACTAAGCCCCCCACTTACAAGGTCACAGCATAAGAGTCTACCAGGTAAAGACAGATGATGGCATACAGGAACAAAAGTGAAGGAACTGAGCAAAGATCTTCTAGTGCCTCTCACTAGTTCCTAGATCCAGCTACACAAGTTTCTGCATGCTACTTTGATCAACAACCTTACGGAAAATGGCCTTTTTTTATTCTGAAAATTATTGCATATTCTTAAATAGAAAACGTCCGGGTAGGGCGTTATGTGCGACAAGACGAGCAGCGCAGACACGGGCGCACACAGCTGCCCAGGCGGATCAGACACGGAAGACCGTCACCCATGCGGGGACAGGCGGGTGCCAGCAGTCCACGACAGTCAAACGGCCCAATTTACGGGCTCCGCCATGGCTGCGGCGGCCGCCCCGCGCAGACCGAGCCCGGAGCCCCCTGGG